TAAATTAAAAAAAATATAATAATAAAAAAAAATATATATTTGAAATATAACAAACAAAATAAATAAATAATATTTCAATAAATTAAATTAAATTAAAAAATATTTTTAACAAAAGAAATACTAAATTTAAATATTTTGTATAGGTTCTAAGATCGTATTGCGTTGTTAATAAAATTTAATTTTGTTAGGAATAAAATTAAAAAAAAAAAAGTGGAAAAAAAAAATTAGTGAATAAAGTGAATATTATTGAGAATTATACTGAGAATTTAATAAGAATTATATTAAAAAGAGAATAAGAGATATTAAATTGAGGATTGTTTAAAAAAAAAAATTAGTGAATATATTTGAGAGTTAAAAAGAATTTTTATTGTGAATTATTGAGAATTAATTGAGTATTTTATTTAAAGGCCGTATGGTAAGTCTTTGTGTATTGAATTTATTAGACAAGTTGAAGTCTATTTTATTGGGGAATTTTAAAGGCCGTGTAGTAAGTCCTTCTGTTTTGAATTTTATTAGACAAGTTGAAGTCTATTTTATTTTTGAATTTTAAAGGCCATGTAGTAAGTCCTTGTGTTTTGAATTTTATTAGACAAGTTGAAGTCTAATTTTTGTTGAATTTTATAGGCCGAGTGGTGGGTAGAACACGATTGCGTACTTTTGTCCTTTTTGGCAACACGATTGCGTATGTTTGTAGATGGGTTAAAAGTACCCTTAAGAAAAAAATAAATAAACACGATTGCGTCTGAAATTATATGCAACGTTGTCAAATTTAATTTTTTCATCGTATTAATAAATAATATATTATAAAATAATAATAATATAAAAAATATTGAATAAACTAGTTCTAAAATAATTTGTAAAAAAAGTTAATGGTAAAAAAGTAATTTAATAAATAAGTAAGTTTAAATTTCGATTCCTTGACATCTATAGCCTACTACTTTTAAATATTGAGTTACATTTTTATGGATATTTTTATACTCATCATAATCCTTTATGGTGCTTTGGATTCTGTTTAAGTCTTTTTTTGCCATTTTCTTCACTCTCCCATTATTAACCGATTGTATAATCACTCTGGTTTGCAATTGAGTTTCTTTCAATATTTGAATAACAACATGTGTTGGAGGATGAGTACTGTGAAATTGTCCATTATAAGTCCTATGAAAGCTTTCAGGTCCATTTGTGGTACTAAAAATTATGAATATAAACAATTAAGAATATTAAAAATATATATTGTATAAAC